GTTTACTCCCAGCCTTTCTTGAAGTTGATAGTATGTTTAATATTTTTCAAAACTACCTGATGTGATCAAATTAGGTGTGAAATATTTCAAATGTTATTGCAACAGACATTTCACCTCCCCTGTTTTTGTCTTGCTCATGCTTTGATTACTGGTTTTTTTTTCTGAGTTCCTGATAGTCTGACCTGCAATAGAATTCAGATTAAGAATTTCCACAGTCATCATAATGAATTAAAAGCCCATAATTTACCCATTTATATTAATGATAAAGTTGCCAACTGGGCTGACCAAGCTGCTGTGAACCAAGATGCCACTAAAGAGCTCTCACGTTCTTGGACTTGATGTCCTGGACAGGTTGGGTGTCTGTAGACACATGAAGGCACTTTTGGTTCTGTGCAGTCTCACAAATGGATTGAATTTCTCTGCCTACACTCTCTTTCTTGATAGGACTAAAAATGGCTGGTAAAGAAAGAAGCCTCTAGCAGCTGTCAGGAGGCTTCGTAACTTAAGCAGAGTGTGGGTATGTGTTGTCAGTAGAACAGTTATTTTGTCCCCAGTAGCCATGACCCTGCAAGCAGGTGTGTGTGAGCAGAACCTCTGACTGCTGAAGGGTCATGCAGAATTCAGTGGTGGTTGTGGAGGTGTACACTGTCAGCTGGACTGCCTCTTTGGGCTCTATGTTGTGAGCTCATGCATGTGGCCAGCAGTAGTCTGTTAGAGGGGACCTTGTGATGTGTTTTCAGGAATATTTCAGCTGGCTCTTTGCGTTTTGGATTTTGCATCTGCTTTGACTTTTAAGGATTGAGTTTTCTGTTGAGACACTTGCCAGGATCGTTATTGTAGCCCTGCCAGTTACAGCGGGCAAACAGAGAACCCAAGCTGTTAATTCCAAGGGAAGAGATTTTAAGAAAATTGCATTGGTATCAGAAAGTCTTGACTGCGTGTAACCATGGTGATTAATTTTCTTTGCAGAAACATTACCAGAAGGCCTGGGACGAGGCCAAGGCGAAAAGCTATGACCTAAGAGCTGATGCCATTCCCATCAAACACGCCAAGGCTTCCAGAGACATTGCTAGTGAGGTACAGTCTGCTCTTCATGTGGTTGCCCTGTCTGTCTCTCCCCGTGTCCAGCTCAGGAGAACTGAGAGAAGTTCAGTTCGAAGTTTGACAGCCTGGGAAGCTGGAAGCGCTTTGTTTGTTAGTTGTGTTCAGGTGAGCCACGTGTGGCTGCTGACCTTCTTTCTGCATTTCCAGTACAAGTACAAAGAAACGCACGAGAAGCAGAAGGGGCAATACATTGGGGGGCGGGCAGCCC